GGAGCTGGGGGCTCCTCGTGAGTCATTGTGCCGTCCAGCTGGGGGGGGCCCGCTGTGCCTTCACCAGCCTCCTCACCTACCCGCGCAGACTCGTGGGGGCCAGGAGTCACCTTTCCCACTGGAAGCAGCGACAAGTCTTCTCTTGGATCTTCTTATCTCCTGGGAACTGATCTTTGAGATTAGCCCATTAGTTAACCCCCAGAATCTCTGCAAGTTCTGGAGAGTTAAGGAAGTGTCATGGGCAGGGCAGGAAGCCCTGGTGACCTCGGACGAAGGACTCGCTGCCCAAAGACACGTGGCTGCAAACAGGCCGCCTCAACTCCCTGGACTCACCCACGCGTCTTCACACGGGAGAGTCTTGATGGAGTTGTACCTGGAACGCTCTCCCACACGAACGTTCTGCGATCCTAAGAATGCAGCCTCGGGGCTCCAGAAGACTGGGCATCCTTCGCCATACTCACGCTGACAAGGGTCATGACAGCGCATCTCCACTTGGATAATTTTAGCCTCTAATAATTGCTGTCACTGTGAATATGAGCAGACCTAACCTAAAAGTTCCCCATAAATAAGACAAACAACATCGCTGAGTAACTGTGATTAGAAAACGCAACAGCTGAGTCTAGAGGGTGACGAACTGGGGTCTCCTGGCTCTCAACTCAGACATTCCCCTCTCATCCCTGTGGAACAAGGGGCTCCGGGGGCCCCTCTTTGTCAGGACAGAGCGTGACGCCTTGGGGAGGGTGCTGGGGGCCCGGACCAGCTCCTAGGCAGGTGGGAGACTTCTCTACCTCAGAGGGAAAGACGCCACATTTGTCCCAGAGCAGATCCGGAGTATTTGACGAGGATGAAGGCAGAAGGATGTGAACTCAGGTCACTGTACCTGGGCTCAGGAAGGGGCTGCAGAGGTCACAGGCAAGGAGAGGGTCGTCACCGTCAGAGCAACCAGGCGGTCTCCGTCTGCCCGTGGCCCTGCCCAGCCCCCCAAATGGCCTCACCAGGGCGTCCGCTACCTTCCCGCCTGTTCCAGTCCCCTCGTGCTCTGTCGAATCATGACCTCATGACTCCGGCGGTCTCCTGAGCATCAGTCCAGGACTCCCCTAATTTCCCAGCCTCCTCTTCCTGTCTGAAAGGGTGTAACTCGTTGGCCAGGCCCCAGGACATGGCAGGTTGAGGAAGCTGACGATGCGTTTCTGTAATCAAAAAGAAACACCCATCTAATGCTGCAACAATGCACTTCATTACCTGAGACCCTTTGGGGGGCGCTCCCAGACCACATCTCCTATGACCTGGAAAAGTCTAGAGCAATTCCTGCTTTGAAGTAGTATCTCTCATTTCTCGTTGTTCTTCTGGGTTCTTTTTTTTTTTTTTTTTTTTTTTTTTTTACATCAGTTGTGTACTTGCTTGCCCATAGTTTATTTGAATGTCTGGAAACAACAATAGTAACACAATCAGGACTAGATCTTGAATTGGGTCTCAATCTAGATTGTGTCTCAATCGTATTTTTTAGCAACAACGCACTAAAAAAACAAATAGCACTTGTAATTATAAAGTTGTAATCCCCAGATTATAGTCATCAAATTCCCACATCAAATCCCACATCAAATTATAGTCATGAAGGTAGAAAAGAAATGCCCTATGGTTTTGTTTAAGAATCTGGGTGGGTTTTTTTGTTGTGTTTTCAAATTGTAACTATTGAGTATAAATTGTTTATAACAATCTGACTCAAAGGAGATAAAATTCACACCCACAACATTTCAGGACACTCACGTAGAAACCGAAAGGGCCCTTGGGCCCAGCCAGAGAGGCCTCTGCATTCTGGGCCCAGACTCCACCCTGGAAGCGGCTGGGCCGGGCCTCCCTCACCTACGCCCCAGTGTGACAAGCCCGACCCCACCCCAGGGGAGGACGCCAGCGCTGACACCCACCTGCTGTGGCCCCGACTCGTGTCCGTTACTTCACAGCTCTGCTGGGCCCACGATCGCAGCAGAAAACCACAAAAAGGAAACTGAGGTCCTCGGGTCTCCTCCTGAAACCCCCATCTATATAGTTATGGTCTTTTACTTAGCATGTGAACCCATACTTTAATATGATTTTCAGGTAAAACCCTTTTCTTCAGCACACATTGTCCCTGTCTGACAGAACGTGGGTTGCGTGAAGAACTAGTCCAGCGGACTCCTGAAGTCCCTGCAATGGGACGTTCAGTGTGTGGACTGTTGTTGGTGCCACGCGGTTAACCCCGGATCGGCACCGAAAACACTCGCCCTTTCTTCATACCTGCTTTCACCTGTGACCCATTTCATTATTCGCCTCAGCACAACGTAAGTAGAGCAAATTGCCTGAAAACACAAAACCAGAGATAGAATTCTGTAAATGACTTTGAATCCTGGAGGAGGCTGGTGCGTGGAGGATATTTAGAGCCTGCTTGTTGATGGGTGCACTGACTGTCCCCCTCCACTAGTCCACATAATGAAGAGCAGACTTTATTGCACATATGCTTCCAAATAGTTAAATGCCAGTAACTTGAGAAATTCCATTGACCTGCAAGGATCTGTGGCCACTGGCACCATTGCACCAGCCATCGCCACCTTCACTGATGGCGGTCACGCAATCTCAGACGCCGCCGAGCACGGTGGCCCGGAGGAAGAGCTGCGCTCTGCCGTTGGCCGGGTAGCCAGGTGCTGACGCGGGTTCCCTTGCCTGTTTCCAGCCAGGCACCTGCCTGGGCTCCTTCCCCGGGTGGGGGGCAGAGGGGCAGCCGCAAGCTCAGAAATGCAGCGAAAACCATTTCCTTCTCGGGACAAATGAATTGAAGATAATCCTAAGATTTACAGTGTGCAGAATTAACTGAAGTTCCCTACAACTACAGCGTGATAGGAAGGTGCAGAGGTCATACCCATGGACCGCCGGCATGTTCTGGGCTGCCTCTCTCGTGGGTGTAGAAAGAGCCAGGCGGTGACAGGGGCATTCTGTTTCCGTGGTTGCTCCCTCCATTGTTTCCTCCTCCCCAAGCTCTTGAGGGTGATGGGATGTGTTTCACAAGAAGTTCAGAGAAAAATCACAAAAATAATAAGTCTCACCTGATGCGGTCTCTCCTCGGACTCAGCTTGGAAAATGCCCCAAGATGTTGCCTGTGCTTCCGTGTTTCCAAACGTACGTATAGATTCGTGTCACGGTCAGTCCCTCGCGGGCACAGCAGTGCTGGGCTCCAGGTGGCCAGTCACGGTGCCACGGAGACACAGCGGCCGCCTGGAGGCCTGCTCCTCCAATCACGGCCCAGGAACCTAACACGCAGTGTGTAAATTGAGAGGTGAATATAACTTTTATATTTGCAGGAATTCTGTAGAACAGGGTCGCCTTCGACTCGTATCACCTTGAACCCTGGGCCAAGGGCACAGTGCGTGCTAGTCGAGTCCTTCCACGGTCTTCCCGACTGTACTCACTGGGTCAGGTTTCTGTCCTCTTGCCGCTCTTTGGGAATACATGTATCTCTGTCCTAAAGAAAAGTATTTGTAGGAACTATCCAGAAAAGAGACGATATTTGTTTTATACAATTAGTGACGCTCTATGACTAAGGTACGGCAAGTCTGACTTGCTGATGTTTAGAAAGATGTGTTAGATTTTTAAAAACGTGTTGATTTGCTATTGATATGTTGGTGCCCAGACCTCTTCTACCAACAAAAGTCTTTTCTGAGGGAACAGCATGAAATCCATAAAGGAGGCCCCCAGGGACACCCTGACTCAGCTGTTAGCGAACAGGTATTTTCTCCTAATCAATACACCTCATTTCCTCAGTGCATCGATAAACTTGAACAATCCTTCTTTGTTTTTTTAATCAAAGAAACAAAAAGCAGGTGTGAAAGTGGCATGGAGGTAACAAAGTCCAGTCTGAGGGCTGGCGGGGAGGGGCTCTTTAGAATCCACACATACCGTTACCTGTATTCGCAATATACCTGGCAGCAATTACGCAGCCCGGTGGAGACAGATGCGCGTCCCAAACATTCCTTGAGCGTTAAACAGGATACATTTCGGGTGAAACATAGGGCTTTTATGTAATTTTTAACATGGCCTTCTTTCAGCAGATTTTCCTAAATGCTTTTTTGCGATTGCACATAATGCTCATTCGGGTGTTATTTCTAGCAGCTCACCAAAATTCTCCTGAGGCTGGGAGGCAGGCCAACGCAGGGGTGCACTGGTCACATTAAATGACACATCGTACGGGCCACGGTGGCACCAACTGACCTCAGTCCTGCATTTCATGGGCCTTTGGTCACTGCACACTCCTCCCCCTCTCTCAATCCTGCTGAGACACGCATGCGGGAACCACAGCGAATTAGATTTAGCTTCTAAACTTCTACGTGCATTCCTGTTGCCTCGCTGCATATCATAATGAATTGTCTGTAAGGTAGAAAACTCCAAAGAGCTTAATTCAGTCCAAACATGTGCTTCTGATGCTGAACGCCCAGCATAGGTGGCGTCGCTGCGTGAGCCCGAGGCCTTGCACTGTGCTGCCTGAGCGTCACGGCGAAAACAAACCATTTAAAAGCAATTGCTGCGAACATCTGTTTAAGGGTTGGTAACAAGCAAAGTTCATGAACTCTTAGAAAGTCTGGTAACATGATGAGTGTAATTATCATGCATCTGTTTGGGCTGTAAATAAATAAAGCGGATAAAAAATAAAAGTCACTCGTAAAATTTAGAATGAAAAATTAATATTTTAAAATTACATTTACCGCATATACTGGTTTATTTTCAGAAGAATTAAGGAAATTGATAGTTTCTAGCAAGTGCTTCCTGTGGCCTCCTGGTTTTAGAGCAGTCCGCTCGATTTGAGCCACACCGCCCGCCGAGCCGCACGCGGGACCTAAGTCTCCAGTGCGTGGTGAACAGGGTTTGACATGCCATTGACTTGCTTTCCATGCTGTTGCAACTAAACTTCAAGTTCTAGCCATTTTTTTCTTTTCTTTTCTTTTTTGTCCTTTTTTTTTTTATTTTCTTTGCAGAAGACCATCAAATGAACTGTCACAATACTCGAATAATGCAAGACGCAGAAAAGGATGATAACAATAATGATGAGTACGATAATTACGATGAGCTGGTGGCCAAGTCCTTGTTGAACCTCGGCAAGATTGCCGAGGACGCAGCCTACCGGGCCAGGACTGAGTCGGAGATGAACAGCAACACGTCCACCAGCCTGGACGACGGCAGCGACAGGAACGAGACGCTGGGCCGGAAGAGCGAGCTGAGCCTGGATCTGGACAGCGACGTGGTCAGAGAGACGGTGGACTCCCTGAAGCTGCTGGCGCAGGGACACGGTGTGGTGCTCGCAGACAACCTCGGCGACAGGGCGTATGCAGACTCTCTGTCGCAGCAGGACAGCAGGAACATGAACTACGTGATGTTGGGCAAGCCCATGAACAACGGGCTCGTGGACAAGATGGTGGAGGAGAGCGACGAGGAGGTGTGTCTGAGCAGCCTGGAGTGCCTGAGGAATCAGTGCTTCGATCTGGCCCGGAAACTGAGCGAGACGAACCCGCAGGACCGGAGCCAGCCCCCGAACATGAACATCCGCCAGCACGCCCGTCAGGAGGACGACTTCGCGGGGAGGACGCCGGACAGGAGCTACTCCGACATGATGAACCTCATGCGGCTCGAGGAGCAGCTGAGTCCCAGGTCTAGAACTTTCTCCAGCTGTGCAAAGGAGGACGGGTATCACGAACGAGATGACGACACCACCTCCGTGAACTCGGACAGGTCTGAGGAGGTGTTTGACATGACCAAGGGGAACCTGACCCTCCTGGAGAAAGCCATCGCTCTGGAGACAGAAAGGGCGAAGGCCATGAGGGAGAAGATGGCGATGGAGGCCGGAAGGCGGGACAATGCGCGGTCCTATGAAGAGCAGTCGCCAAGACAGCTTCCCGGGGAGGAGAGAAAGCCTAAGTCCAGTGACAGCCATGTCAAAAAGCCATACTATGGTAAAGGTAATATTTCTACCTAACGTAAGTTGCCTCACGCAAGCAGGAGCTAGGGTGAAAGATGCGAGGATAGTCCACAAGCGAAGTGCGCATCGCACTAAGTCATGTCACTAATGCAGATTTCTCAGAGTTGGTTACACGATTATGTTTTGTGACTATGTTGCTGGACAGCAAATAAAATATTTGTCTGGGAAATACACAAAGCAGCTCAATGCCCTATGATCAGAGCAGACGAGTAATATGATATTTCAGCGGGAGACGCCTGCCTCGGAAAGACAGGGCTAGCGCACACACGCATCGCGTGATAGAAACCACTAGCATGAGCCTGTGTTCTTACAAAGGAGCCACGATCTTTGTGGAGTGGCAAGGGTTTACACAACAATTAGCCAATCAGGGAGGAAGCACATTTTTTATATACTGGATTGGGTAGGTGGCATCATGATTTATAAAATTATCATCAAATGGCGGTTATTGATGAACCCCCCCCCATAAAAAACATCCCTGATAGAAATTGAACAGTAACAGAATGACCGATAACATAAGACAAGGGCAGTGACTGCACATTAATTATCCTAAGATAGTAAGTAATGGGAGCCATTTGCTATGCAAGGCATGGTGTATCCCAAGCTGAGATCAATAGTAATTTCTTTAGTATATTCATTCCCGCTCTCTGATTCCATCCCATGGTGGAAACAGTTATGGTGCTTACTTTATTATAAAACACTCAAAAAACCATCCAACATGATAGTTTTAACAGATTTTCACTTATAAAATACATTGACACATATCTGCATATATCTGTGTGTTTAATCGTTCCCATGTGTAGCCACCATATCCACTAAGAGTATGAATACACACTGAATGAATGACTGACTTCATGTTTGCAGTAACAACCGTGTCCACTTGTGATATGAGGTGGGTCATGATTTAACCTCGTGCAGAACCTTGACGCTGTGGCTATTTCGGTTACAAGATTCTCTGAGAACTAAATAAGAAGCAATTTCAAGAATGAAATTGGTAATTCCTTAAATCCTTCCATATCAGGACCAAAAACAGAACTTTTGTCTTGTATTCGATTGTATTCCTGATAAAGACTGAGTTTCCCCACCGTGGATCTGATGGTGAGGTTCGGGAATCTGGTTTGAAAACCAAACAACCAGAAAGCCTCTTTCTCCCGCTGTGACATAGGTGTGTATTCTCCTCTCAATGTGTGCACAGAACTCTGTGGCATCGCTGTAACCACAGCCCAACAGGGGACGAACCGTAGCCAGAGGCCCGTCGGGTTCTTGCTTTGGCGGGTGCTTGAGCGCTGACCGCCGTCTCGGGTGACGCAGGGAGAGCCTCCGGAGGGGCGGCATATGAGGAAAGGGCTGTTTCTTAAAGGCTCTAGCTCAGTGCAGCATCAGGCTTGCGTTGGTGCTGTGAAGGCTGGGAAACAGCACATGCGTTCATAACCGTAGTGCGATCTATCAGGACCTTTTAGTTGGACATTTGAGAGGCGGAGAGGAGCTAAACGCTTTTAGGAAGGAAGAGTGTCCTTTCTCACAGGGCGGCTCGGTGGGGCGAATACACATTGGGCTCACGTTAGACGTCTGCAGACCGGGTTTCACGCGGAACGGGCAGCGAGGCACGCGGCAGAGCACTGTGGGAACACGTGGGCTCCCGGGGCAGCGCATGCAATGTGTGCCCCTGGCTCCTTTGGCTTCTGTGGTTCCCTTAAGCCCAGCAGCTTTCTGTAGATTCTTACTCATTTTGCTTTGTTATTGCTATTTGGTCTTATTTTGATTCAGGCAAGAAATGGAATTCAAACCGCTGGCTTCCCTTCAACAAACGGGGCAGGGGTGGGAACAGTACAACCCGAGATGTGCTTTTCCCTGAAATGGGGGAAGGGTTGGGGTTGGGACCTTCCAAAAGAGTCAGAAATCATTGATTCCTGACTGGACCAGTTTCTCTAGATTCTTCCTCCGAGCAAGGCTTGTCCACTTTCATGTGTGTCCTGCTGCATTCCCGGGTCCCTTCTCAAGATGTCTGTAGGCATGTTCAGGACCAAATCAGTAAAGCCAAGCAAGGACCCCCAGTGGGGCCGGGAGATTAATGCCCTCCTTATTAAAACGATTAATTATGTGACATTTTACCAACATAGCCAATGGACAATTCCTACAACCGTACAGCACGTCAACAATCTTCATTTCCAGCTTCTTTGTTATTTTATTGCATCAGTTCTCACTTAAACACGATCTTCTCAAAATGATTTGAATTATACATGAGTGACTCTTCCAAAATCTTGAGCTAAAACAAAAGACGTTCATCATGAAACTCCTCTACCTTTCTCCTCCTCAAGCATCCACTCGAAAGGGAGGAAGGGGAGCAAAGCTAAACCCAGCGTGCAATTTTTTTTTTTTTTTCCTAGACATCCTTGCCGGGTTTTCGGTTGAGTTACTGGCCTGTTTGCTTGCTTGGTTGTTTTGGGTTTGTCTGAATGTTTACCTTCAAGATGAATTGAGATTCCCGGAAATCAGCATGCACGGGGAGGCGATGGCGGAGGCGAGCGGCATCGAGAGGAGAGTATACCCTTGTGTCCTCCAAAACTGAAATTGTTTGAGCCACTTGTTTTTACACAGATCTGCACTTAACTTCAGAACACTTTGGAAATGTATGAAATGATAGCACTTGTTAGGAAACTGCAAGTGTACTGATGAAAGCGTCACTTAATGATGAATAATAGTTAAAATTTAGGTTTTTACCTTTAAAATGCTATTTATATTCAGCTTATGATCTTAAATAATGAGTATTTTGCTCTGAAACTGTTACTGTGCACTTACTATTTTATATTTACATTAATTAAATGATGCTGATATTATTACAACACTACCCAAAAGGCAATAAAACGCCAGGCTTTTTGATTATATGTGTAAGGGAAGCTCCAGTAAGATACTGAGAAACTGAAGCTACAACATAATTTCAGGTGTCTCAGGAAACCATGATCTTCGACACCTGTAGGAAGTAGCTGACAGTTGCATCCAGGATACAGGCCCGTCAACAGCAGCCCCAGTTTAGCGATCCAGGACCTGAAAGATCTATTACCTAGGTTAAAATGCTAGCTTAAAAAAGGAAGGGGGGGAGGTGAGCTTTTTATACAAGCGTAAAAGCGTTTACATATTCCTGTGACTCCTGTGTCCGTTTCAAGTTCACATGAATGACTTAAGAAGAAAGTCCATCAGAATTCAAAAAACTTGAACCAAGCATGTATTTTCTAGCTGTCACGATTGGCCCGGTTAATCAGCCACGGATAGAAAAGTGTTACACCCCTAAAGAAATGTTAAGCACACACTCCCTGGGCCGAACCACCATAGTCACTCTCTGTTGGTGATCTGTGCAACCGGTTTTCAAAAACTGACTCAAAAATAATTCTTTTGCACACTTATATTACTATTTGGTCTGAGCTTTATCTTAGAAATATTTCTGCACATTGATGAGCTGTGGTCAATTCTGGATAGAGAAATAATTTTATTAACAATAGCATTGCATTTCTGGCATCTGGCGTTCAAGTTCTGACCAAAGGTCTGCTCTGCGCCTCCCTGCAGAGAGCCAACAGGGCTGTATAAAACCATTCCTTCTTAATTTTGTGTACGCATGCACAGCATCGTAAGATCCTTCCTCTGGTTCCAAGGACAGATGAAGAAGTCAAAAGAAATGGTTGCTCCAGCAGCTTCTGAAACATTTTTTATTGCCCATCACCCCCATCGGGTGGGGTTTCCACCATTCTGGTCATTTGCTTACAGTGCCTTCTAAGAGTTCAGCTTCTTTTCAGAAAAGTCTCTGAATTGGTGTGCTATGGAACATCGTTGCAAGATAAAAAAAAATAAAGATAAAAAAATTCCACCACCAGTAAAATTTTGCACCTAGTAGTGTATCCGATTAGAGCACCAGAAGAGACAGACGCTGCACTGAGCAGTGTTTTAACGGCATTGTGCCCCCGGTTGGATTTCACAGAGCGATTGTTGAGGGTCGCTGGGCGGTTTTGCTCTCTGAGAAGGTCACTGTCTCATCAGTATTTACGTTGATTTCTTTGAGCAACACAGCTTATCATGTAACACACGGGAAAGCAATTAATCAGGAGCTATGGTAGGGCTAGTCTTTTTTTTATCTCATAGAAAGTAAATTACTTTATGATTCGTGATTGCAGTGTTTCAGGTCAAGAAAATCACCCAAAACCACAGAACTACCTACGCAAAAGTCTATGTCACAGCTTGTCCCCTGACACCTGCTTTTTTTCTTTATTTGTCAAGGTCTCTTCAGGTTGTTAATTTATCACATTTGTCTTCAATGGGTAAAGAAATTCATTCTCTTGACACCTGTTGTCGCTTTTAGATCCCTCGAGAGCAGAAAAGAAAGAGAGCAAGTGTCCCACCCCGGGGTGTGACGGAACTGGCCACGTAACCGGGCTTTACCCACATCACCGCAGTTTGTCTGGATGCCCGCACAAAGATAGGGTCCCTCCGGAAAGTAAGTCCGTGTTTCGCCAACACCCGTGGGAGCACAGCCCCGGGGATCTGTTTGTGTCACCCCACGTGCCTCTGTCATTTCCATCTCGGTGCAGCCCAACCTTGTCTCCCCGGCCCTTCCCTGTGTTGACGGGCCGCTCGGCCAGGACTGGCGGCCCCTTCGAGGCCCGGTCACTCCTGCTCCGTGGTGGCCCAGGACGGCAGCTCACCAGCCAGGACGCCACTCCGCTTCCATTTCTGACTCACTCGGGCCCTTGGGCAAGTGACTTGTCCCCTCATCTCTCAGAAATCATAGCAGTGGACTGAGATGGTCTCTAAGACCACCACCCCCTGCAGGGCTAACCTCCTATGAGTCCCTGAGAGAAAGGTCCCAGAGCCTCTTCTTGCCCAGTTATGTAGACTTCTGTATATACAAACCCATATTTGTTTTCGTATCTTACTGCATTTTGCTTGTCCAGAGTCTGTCTCGTGTCACAGCTACCCCAACTTTTCCACACAACAAAACCTTAACTATGGAGGCTAAAATCGGGTGGGTCTAGATCTTACGCATTCCTTTTAATGAGTTAGGTTGTGGGAGTGTGCACTTTATCTACGAACACAACTAAATTTAATTCGGGACCGAAGCGGTATACACCTTCTCTGTTTATCTTCCTCTCAGCACATAAAGTATGCCAGCTATTTAAATACAATTAGAATTGATTGCTCAGGGGAAAAGGCCCATTTTCAGAAATGACAACATGAGTTTAAGATCCCGATTTTGAGCCTAAGGTATGTGAAGGATTTTCCTCATTAGCTGAGACACAGTTTCTAGCAGGGAAAATGAAATTGCTTGGCCGACATTCGTCAGGATGACCAGGTGACGGTTCAGAGGAGTTTTTGAGGGTTGTCCCATTAAAATGGGTAACTTTGGACTTCTTGAGACACAAATCTGTCAGAACAAAGAGAAATTCAGGGTAGTCGCTGAGGCTTAGAAAACGGGTTTGGCTGAACGTTTTCCGATGAAATCTTTTTAGAAACTACTGTGCCTCCAGGTTTTCAAACGGCTACTGAAAGTAAGCAGCCCGTGTTTCTTGTAACAGCCTTGTGAGCAAACCTGAAGGGTATGGAAAGAAACGAATTCGAGTGCATGGCCGTGCCCGTGTGTTACATGAGCAGGGAGACAGCATGGTCTGACCGCAGCGGCTTCCTGTCTGAGCACCGTCCGTGCCGGCCTCTCCGCGCACTCCAGCCTCCCTGCCTCCCTCGCTCCCTGGCGAGCCCCTGTTTCCCAGATGAGGAAAGTGGGGAGCCAATGCCCTCACCCTCTCTTCCTGGGGGATTAGCGCGGTGTCTGGCCGACCCCGATCTGCACAGGTACTAACCCGCCTGAGCAGGGAGCAGGGCCGAGTTGGAGACTCTACCTGTCGGAACCCCAAGCTTGTGTTTCTGCCGAGGCCTGGCTTTGCTGCTCCTGCCCCGGTCCCCACGAGCTGAGACACCGGGCCAGCCACGGGCCCTCCACGCCCCACTTTCCTTATCCCCAGCTTGGGGCACGAGGACATCACTGGTGTCTTAGGTACAGAGAGGCTCCTGACGCAACTTTTCCCGAAGGCACACGTTTTCGCCTCCGAAGTAGAAAATCAGTTCCCTTCCGTGGCTGAGAAATTCTCCACGCTGCTCATTCTCACAGGAAGAGCCTACATGTAGTAGAGACGGGGGCTGCGCCCCGACCGGCTGCGTGGTGTACGTGCTCCCACAGACCACGGGTCAGCCCGCACCTGGGCTCACCTCTGCCGGGAGGAGGCCGGGGGTCCGCTCGACACCCGTCTCCCAAACGCCTTCCAGAGCGTCTGTAGGAAGCTGTTTCTAAATACTTGTGTATAGTTCTTTGTAGAATCATAAAAACTTTAAAAAAGAAAAACATGAGACTCCTCAAAGGGCATGTCTTACTTTTTAGTTTTTAGGTGTTTTCTCCGGTTTTTCCTTGGCTAGGCTCCCCTAATCACCCTTTCCGTCCAGCCGAAGGCATTAGAGTGTCGCACACCCCAGTTTGCAGCACGCTGTGCTAGAAACACGAGGACATCCCACTTATGGGACACGGTTCTCGCCCTCCAAGAGCCCCAGCCCAGCCAAGGACAGCCGCGTGCTCAAGACAGTGGGTGACTCACACCTGAGACATCAGACTTCCCAAGGGCCCGCAGGCTTCACCGGGGTCGCACTTGAGCCAGTCCTGAGGGAGAGAGAAGGGGTCCACGGCTTGTCTGAAGGCTGTTGCAGGAGTCCACGCGGGAGACCAGGCGTGACGGAGGCAGTGGCCAGGGAGGGAGGATCTGGGACAAGTTCAAGACGCGTTCCGGACACAGGCTGGCGTGGGGGAGGGGAGAGGGAGGGGGCGGGGGTGACGCCGAGAACTTCCGCCTGGCACGGAAGAACGTGGGCTCCAGGAGTAGATGTGATGGGGAAACAGGGCCCCGTGTAACAGAAGGAACAGAGGCTCGGGTTTGCCATCTTCCCTGGAAGTGCTGGGTGGCGGTGCCACAGGCTGCCTGGAGGAGGGTCCAGGGTCAGGTACACAGGCGGCTCCCCAACCTCTTTTCCCAGCCATGCTGCTGGAAACCGGGACTGGAATTGCCTGGAGAGGAGACATAAAGCGGAAATGGACAGGAGCCAAAAACAGCAGTTTGGGACACGAGTGTGTAGAACGTGGGGCCGAGGAAGAGCGGATACAAGCAGCCAGGAGAGCATGGTTGTCCTGGAAAGATCCGCACGTGTCGGGGGGCCAGACCCTGGGGTCACCAGGCTTAAGCAAAACCTGTCGCCGACACTTAAGGGAGGGCAGAGGGCGGCGGGGAAGAGCGGGAACCAGCAACACAAGTCTGAGGAACGTGGGGGGCACAGCGGGGGAGGGGGCAGCAGGAGCGTAGGAGGGGCTCAGGGTGGGGACAGGAGTGGGGACAGGAGCAGGGGAGGGCAAGGGGAGCTCTCAAGTCAGGCTTAAGAGCTCACACACAGCTTATAACAACCAGGCTCCTGTTTATAAATGAAGTGAGAGCGTACGAGGGATGATGGAAGGCATCTGACCTTCAGCCTCAGTCCTGGGGATACAGTAAGGGAGCGGTGGGTCCTGACGACCTGGAGGGCACTCGCCGTGGCCAAAGGAGCACAGGAGGGGACAGGAGCGGGACAGGAGTGGGGATAGGACCAGGGGCAGAGCGAGGGGGGTTGGGGGCAGCAGGAGCACAGGGTCCTGGGACGGGAACAGGATTTGGGGCAGAAGGGGGGGCAGCAGAGGGCGGCCGTCCCCCCGACCGCTGGCTGGGGAGGGGTCCAGGCCGCACGCAGCGGGCAAGACCGAGCTGCAGACCAGCACGGAGGGGTCTGCTATCTGCCGTGAGGACCCAGCTGTGGCAAGTGTGGATAAACAGACAGGAAAGAGGACATTGGAAAGAGTGCACATGATGTTGTAACAGGAAGACAGGAGAACCCTACTGAATTAAGACTGATGTAGGTGAACCCAGGCCCTGGCGGGGGAGTGGAGGCCTGGGGCCAGGGAGGAGCACAGAAGGAAGCCTTGGGTTGGGAGGGGGGCACCCAAGCTGGGAGACTGGACGGGGGGGGGGGGGAGGGGGTGGAGTCCTCGTAGACGGGGGTGGGGATGCCCTGTGCCAAGTGGGGGAGAGAAGGGGCAGGAGGAGCCTCCTTGTGCTCAGAGGACACGGTGGGGGGGGTTATAGGTGGGGTGGGGGTACAGGGGCACCCGGGGAGAAGGCCTCCTGACACCCCACTCTGGCCAGATCCCCAGCACACAAGGAGCCTAAGGCTGACTCACCCTTGTCAGGTCGGTGCTTACCGAGCGCTGAGCGGACGTCCAGATGACGCGGGAGCTGTGAAACCGTAAAGATGAAACCAAAATATACTCCCTTTTCAAGAAACTGGCCAGGAGTGAGGAGGCTCTCGTAGGCTCCAGTAGAACAGTGTCTTATGGGAATAGCATGCAAACGTCAGGGAAGAGAGAGATCGTTCTAGAGAAAGAGGAAAGTTGTAGAAAATAGAGAAGTAGTTCGGGCAGACTTTGCTTTCCATGGTTCGATCGCGGGGTGAACCTCGCTGGCCGGGAAAGCACCCCCGGTCTTGCTGCCTCGAAGCAGACGGTTGTGTGGGGGCAGGTGCTGTGACTCAGTCCTCCTGGCTTCCCACTGGCACCTGTCACCCCCTCCCGCTTCCCCAGAGTAGCGGCCGCTCACGGAGGACCAGACAGAGGATGACATATGCAAACTGTCAGGGCCTGTTCCCGACACGTGTAAACGCAAACACTGTCTCCCAGCAACGGGCCGCTTGACTCCTGGTGCTGCCAAACCACATCCTGCCATGTCTCCGTGCTGACTTCACTTACTATTCTAGCTCATTCCATTGGAAGAATAACAAAATACTTGATTCTCAGATGAAAAGTCATTATTTAATCCATTTTATTTAAAAATCAGGCTTGGGTTTCTCTATTCACCGGTGACCACCTTCTTGATAAATACCATGTGATTCCAGAGAGTATAGGCGCGTCTTACAAATCACCAGTGTATGTGCCGTTACATGGCCAACCGATGTTCAGGGCTGACGCGCAGGAGATGTAGGGAGGCCCCGCTTCCCTGCCCCATCTGGAACGTTCCCCACCCCCACGGCCCCTGCCCAGCGCTCCCTGCTCTGCATGCCCACTACACTAAGGTTGAGAGAACCTTCTTCTTTCCACATGTGTGTTCCCGACCATGCCCATCACAAGTGTGTGTAGGACTGTCCATTGTGAACCAACCCAGCCTTTGTTAAAATGATCGCGTACTCGTATCCGGACCATTTCTGTGTTTTAACGCTGGGCTGTCTTCTCTGCCTCTTCCTTGTCAAGTTCTTGCCATGCATGAGAATGTTCTCAAGTGTCCTACTCCGGGCTGCACAGGGCGAGGGCATGTAAATAGCAACAGAAACTCGCACAGAAGGTAAGCAAAGCGTCCTGCGCCCCACGCTGCAGGGAAGGCGGCTCCCCGACAGCCCCATCCCCGTCCCTCGGGAGGGAGTGCGCCCCTGCACCCCTCCCCCTCCTGGGTCGCTCTCTGGGAGCGGAGGGTACTGGTGCATGGTGCATGGGGAAGCAAATCCGGAGAACCGTTTTCGAAGCGTGGACTTTTTCACTTGTTCCGCTCATTCGTCCTGCGTCCTCTAGAAGGCGCCCTCCTTGGTGTGAGGAACGGATCCACAGCCCTCGGTGGGGAATGCTCAGCTACCCTCGCGGGTGGGGAGAAGCTCTCCTGTGCGCGCCGCGCAGGGAAGGGTTCCAGCGCCCCAAGGCTGGGGGGTCTGTGACCCAACCGAGTTGCCCCTAAAACTCTGCCGAAACCCCAGTCATCAGTGTGGACGCGGTGTGGACACAAAACACTAGCAAGTGTCCAAAAGGGCTAGTTGGGGGGCATTTGGCATGACCGTGAGCCGGGTACGTAGGCGTACCCGGAATCACACTTTTGCTCTGACAAGTTCCAATTCTGTTTCCTCCCCTGTTCTGACTTTTACCAAGTTGCTCATGATATTCAGATCATATCAAATACTTCTTTATCAATGACGGAGTGATTCTGTTACGGTCCACCTCATGGCCTGTACTTTCAGCTTCGAAAGCACACGTAAAATTATGCCTAAGTGGAGGAAATGGTTAGGAGTTTCATCTTAATCTCTGCTTGCCTGACTGGTGAATGTTGTTACTTGTGTGAAGTTTACCATGAAACAAATCACGACCCTGTGCCCCTCAGAGGTCCTCCAGGACTCGGTCTGCCGAAGAAAGGGATGATCAGTAGGTCGGTTCAGTTCACGCCGAGCACTGTTCCATATGGTCTTTACAATATCAGCCCCCTCCTCAAACCTGGGCGGGGCCGTGTATTTTCGAGACGTGACGCACACGTGGGGTGAGCGTCCGCACATGTGTGTAGATATATATACAGACACACAAAGAATAGACACCGTGAGTTCATGAGGAATAAGCCCAAACACAAGAGAGCCAACCTGCCATCTCTTCCATGAGCATTTAGTTCCAGAAACCACTTAACGGTGGTCCTAGAGACTATCCTGCTTCCTCCCCAGTGCCATTCGTCCCCCGGGGAGGGCGTGAACGAGCTGGTCAGTGACAAGCCAGAGCGCTGTGGTCGGTGGCGCTCGCGGGGTCAGCCGAGAGCTCGCCTTCTGGTGCCGGTCAGAGACCTGCCGTTCTGGGGCTCATCCGGCCCAGATGGCTAGATCCTCGTCTCCAGAAACATCCCGGAATGGAATCTGTGTCTGAAATTTCAACTCGCTCCTGTACTCTTGAATGACACGGAACTTGGCTTGCTGTCACTGGAAAGGATTGCGTGCCCTTGGTGCACGGCCTGGCCCTCAGCACCGTCCACCGGAGACCCAGAGGAACCCGTGCAAGGTGCAGCCGCAGTTGTTGCTCCCTAACCCGACCCATCAGGAAATCCCACGGCAGGTGTGGGAACCCGCGCTGGAGCCTTCTCGCGCCGACCAGGGGAGAGGGGGAGGTGGTCACGGGGTCAGTGTGCCGTGAAGCCGCTGGAGGAGACAGCTCAGCCCCCTCTCTGTCCTTGCAGCCTCTCTGGATGTCCTATTGCTGCCGCGGAGAAACTGGCAAAGGCCCAGGAGAAGCACCAGAGCTGCGATGTGTCCAAGTCCAACCAGGCCTCAGACCGCGTGCTAAGGTACCAGACGCCGAGCGCGTCGCCTCATGAGAGCCGCGCGTGCCCAGCATGCCAGGGCATGTGGGGGTCCGGACCGGGCGGGAGGGCTCACGCCGCAGCAGGCGGGCACGCGGTCACCGGTGCGGGTAAAAGAGCCGAGCCCCCGGCCCACCCCTCGCCCGCAGGGCTGTGTGAGGGCAGGGGGTCGCTTCGGTGGTCGGGGCCTCCGTCCGCCTGCTGTCGGTGGACAGGGTTGGTTCTGGTTTTCTTTCTGGCCTTGAAAGTATTCGGTGATTCTCTGAATGTGGGGGGAGGGAGGGGAGCTCTACACGTGAATGAGACAGTCACCAGAAGTGGTTTTATCTTAATGCGGACGAGAGGGCGGGAGGCCAGCCCGCAGCCCGGCACCCCTCCCGGTGGGTGCGGAAGCCGTTCCCCGCACGGGAGCCCTCGGGGGGCCTTCTACCCTCAGCCACCCGACTGAGAACCCGAGAGCGGCCAAGCGACTCACGTGAACCCGCTCAGTCCCTGACGGTCCAAGCAGGAAGACCTCAGAGATCACCTGGTCCAGCCCACTGTTTTCTTTTGTGATTTTTTAATGTTTATGTATTTTGAGAGAGAGAGAGAGAGAGAGAGAGAGCAGAAGCGGGGGAGGTGCAGAGAGAGGGGGAGAGAGAGAATCCTAAGCAGGCTCCATGCCGTCAGCACAGAGCCCGACGCAGGGCTCGAACTCACAGACCGTGAGACCATGACTGGAGCCAAAGTCTGACATTCAACTGACTGAGCCCCGCCCCCAGGCGCCCCCACCCACTGTTTTCTTAAGTTTAGAAAAGAAGGATTCTCGGGAGGGGGTGGAGAGAGAAAACTTCATCCCAGACAGGACCCACCCACCAGCTCATTTCCACTTGCCCCCCGCACACCCCGGGCTGCGTGGCCATCGTCGGGGATACCGACTCTTCATTGGACATGGTAGTGGGAACACGCCCTGTGTCCTTACAAAGGCGGCCCTGGTGGCCGTGGTGGCTTCAGACCTTCTCCAGTGGGAGGTCACTGGCACAGAAAACAGGCGCTCCCTCGGAGGCATTTAGGTTGGTTCCAAGTCTTGCTGTTAAAGAGGAAGCAGTACGTTCGTGCGCATGTGTGCTCACGCACACACACACACACACACACACACACAGTTTTGATTCTGTTCAATTACCAATTCTTTCTTTGGGATAAATCACCTGGAAAAAAATCACTGTTCAAATGGCCTGAACACCTGCTTGGTTTTGTTGTGTATTATTTTGAAGCGTTCTGAAGGGATTTTACCACAGTCGTTAAACACCCTTTTGTCCCTCAATAGAAAAGTTAAAGTCTTTATGGAAAATGAGAAATACTGAAATAGGCAAAAATAAGAAAAATAAAAATCATTTATAATCCCACTATTTAGAGACAAGCCCTCCATAAATGTTGGTGTGCATCCTTCTAGACCTCTCCGTGTGCCCTCTTCCCAGAAGGTAAAGCAGACAGGGGGCGAATGGCTGCCCCCTCGGGCCCCGTCCTCCTGAGGAGACGACTGTGGGGCACAAATGGTGCACCTGTAGGCTTTCTTTACAGGCCCAGGCTGGGCCTGGCGAGGAGGGGCCACAGAGGGAAGGACCCTCAGCCACCATAGCGGGAGGCACCGGGGAGCCAGCCCGGGCCGTGGGGACTGGGGGCTCTCTCCGGAGGAGTTAACTCCAGGCTGGCGAATGGGCCAGGCCTCCGGGCTCCCCGTGCTCCCCAGCTCCTGACGGCTCACCGCAGGCACTGACGTCCCAGTTAGGAACATGATCTGGGGGACCTGGTCCCCGGGTGGGCCACCTTTGTGTTCCCCGTGGTGTCTCCATGCGGGGATGCTCACTCGGTGGGCGAGGGAAGAGACAGGAAGGGAGGAAAGAGATCGCTTAAACCTACACTCATGTAGCTAAGAGTTGAAAAGTCTTCATGCAGGGTGTCCAACAGGAAGGCTTAGTGTTTCCAGTTCTGTCCCAGTTTTCCGCTCCCCGGCCGCGGAGGCCGGCCTCCGTCACAGCCTCTGTCCGTCACCAAGTGCCACCTTCTCTCCGATGCCTCTGCTCCAGGCGCCGCTGCTTCTGAGCTGGGCCTAGAGTTTTGAAGGTTTGGGGACCACGCTTCCCCGCCTTGCCCCCTAAGCAGAGCAGATTCCCCCTGGCCCCATGCTACCCACCTCCTGAGAGCCCCCAGTGATGCTGTCGCCGCACCTGCCTGTTCCCTCTCACCCCTGCACTTGTGCCCCTGGACCACTTACCCACCTGGACAGCTGACCTCACACCTCGACTCGTAAACTAATGTCACACTCTGCCTGCTCTTGGAAGACAAGGCCACGAGTTTTATTCACTTCTGCACCTCCACGTGTTACCTGGAAAAGGGCCTCCAATAACAGGCGTTCCACGAATCACCACATTATTTCGTTAATTTGACGAGAAGACGCTGAATTAATGAAACCAAAATAAATGTGTTGATGATCTGGTAAAATACTAGCATGATGGGGGGCTGAGTGAAGAATGCAAGGAGTCCTCTGCACAACTTGCCTGTAAATCTGAAGTGATTTCCCAAAACAGTTTAAAAATCCCACCCATGAGATCAGGAAATAGGTGAGCACACACACGCACGCACACGCACAGCACAAGGCAGAATAGTGATGAGCGTATGGAACTGAGTGCTTCTCCATTTAAATACTTCATTCGAGAGTCTGGAAAGCTGAACGACTACCCATAAAAGCACGGAGGCACAGGCTGGTGTTTGTCAAAACACATCACATGTTCTGTTTTAACATCCAGTTTTGCGTCAGCCCGTGTCCCTAAGGGTATGTCTCTAATTTCCGCTTATTCTTTTTCTTAAATGTTTTTTTTTTTGAATTTTTTTTAATGTTTATTTATTTTTGAGACAGAGCATGAACAGGGGAGGGTCAGAGAGAGAAGGAGGCACAGAATCTGAAACAGGCTCCAGGCTCTGAGCTGTCAGCACAGAGCCCGACACGGGGCTCAAACTCACAGACTGTGAGATCATGACCTGAGCCAAAGTCGGCCGCTTAACCGACTGAGCCACCCGGGCACCCCTCTTTTTCTTAAATGTTTATTTATTTTTTGAGAGACAGAGACAGAGCATGAGCGGGGGAGGGGCAGAGAGTGAGGGAGACACAGGATCGGAAGCAAGCTCCAGGCTCCGAGCTGGCAGCACAGAGCCCGATGTGGGGCTCGAACTCATGCGCCGCGAGATCACGACCTGAGCCGAAGTCAGACGCCCAACTGAGCCCCCCAGGCGCCCCTCCTCTTATTCCTTTGAGGAAAAGGTCTTACTAGCCCACCTCCTTTGCTGTGACTCTTTGTCTCTGAAGCCACTGGGAAAGGAAGGCCCGGCTGTGAGGTCTTTCCCATGTTCATCAAGCCGGCTAGGACTCCAAAAAAGAAATAAGGGGAAAAGTTAAAGGCCTTGCTTTCGTTCTCTTTATTGGCGTGTTGAAAGTCAGCAGATGGCTTATGCGGTGCTATAAAATCCCAGCACATGTGGTCTGTGCTCGGGAAGGTGGGATTTGAGTAACGTGCCCTCGTTTTGATGTGAACCGTGTCTTCTTCCCTGCCGCCGCGAGAAAGTAAACTACCGGTTATCTCTTGTTTGCTCGTAGGCCAATGTGCTTTGTCAAGCAGCTCGAGATCCCTCACTACGGCTACAGAAACAACGTCCCCACGACCACGCCTCGCTCCAACCTGGCCAAAGAGCTAGAGAAATATTCCAAGACCTCGTTTGAGTACAACAGTTACGACAGCCATACTTACGGCAAGCGGGCCATAGCCCCCAAGGTGCAAACCAGGGATATATCCCCCAAAGGATATGATGGTAGGAGGTGCACACTCTTATACACGAGAGTCACGCTTGCCGTTAATAATGTTGTTGTTGTGTCTATCCGTTCCCTGCACACTGGTCGAGCATGTGGTCCCTTGGGTACCAAAGAAAAGCATGCCCACCTGGGCGCACCTGTGTGCTCACGGGTGTGGGTGAGCGGGAGCCCTGCGGGAGGGAGAAAGCCGCCCTTCCCTCGGGGTTTCCAAGGCAACGCATTCTGGCCGCTTTCAGATGCGGACAGAGCGAGCCTTTGGCCGGTCTGCATTCGGCTGTGCTGCTGCCGCGTCCTTAGGTTCATGAACTTCCTCTAGTCGATGGCCCCAACTCAGAGAAGCCTGGGAGAGCCGGAAGTAGCCCCCAGCACCAGCACTTTGCAGTCATCTCAACCTTGGATGCACATTAGATTCATCTGGGGAGATTTTAAAACTTCTATTGTCTGGGATGCACCCCAGACTAATTAGACCGGAACCCCTGGGGGCGCTGCCTGTGTGGTGACATTTTCTAAGTTGCCAGTGATTCCAAGGTGCATCCAAGGGCACACGATTTCTACCGGTGTCACCCAGCCTCTTTCCAGCAGGCACCGGCCCTGGCCTGTTCCTCCACCGCAAGTGGGGCCAGGCAGGACCGCCCCCTGTGACCTAGCGACCACGCATCCGCCAGAAACAAAGAGCAGGTAGAACAGATGAGATGCCACCTCCTCAGGAGGGGGCAGCTTCCTTCCTCTCTCGGGTTCTGGGCCCTCCGCCAGGGGCGTGAACTAGTTGCCTTCGGTTCCCACTGCTAACATGGTAAGTCGTCGAACCAGAGAGGGACCACTGCGTTTCTCTGACACCACGTATTTATCCGACCGCAACTCTGCTTGGAATTCTAGGATATATATGGACCGAGTTGGCAAGCGTTTCCAGCTAAGACGTGGGTTATAGGAGTTCTGATGACTTATAAGTCTTATCTTGGTGTTCTGTAGCGGAGGCAAGGAGATGGGCCTTTAAAGATCTTTTAACTCCTCTCTGAAAAAGATCTTTAATTAAAATCACAGCACACAAAAAAGTTCATTTCGATTGAACGCTTGGGGAGTTCCAAAACCTCTTTACAATTCAGTGTGAGTTGCTGTGCATGTTTCTAAGTTATGGTAGTCATTCTTTGCCTTAATAACAATTAATATGCATAGTGAGTGAAATTTAGTATCTCCTAGATGTGTTGCATATTGATTATCCTTGTGTGTATCGATTCTCAACGTAGAGGAAGAAAAATGTAGGTGGAGAAAAGGGAGTGTCTTAGGGTATAACAGAAAATAGTTATTTTTGTTCTGTTTATTTTATCCCAATGATTTGCCAATTTCTGGTTTGTGAGAATTTTATCCATGTGATTGCAAAGGAAGGATCAAAAAAACTGAACCCACATCATCAGGGTTCCGCTTACATGATTTCCGATTCAGTGACATCTCACGGTGACTGGAGAAGGAGTTCCTCTGGAAGCCTGTCTTCCCGCACCTGCTTGCCACACCTGTTGTTATGTGTGGCCTGATTTCCTTAACCTCATAGTTATGGTTGCACTTTGGGTGAGGTCACGACCAGTAGAGAACATTTTCCTGTGCCAGAAGTCAAACCTACTTGGGTGTATTCTCGGCTATTCCGTTTAGGAGCTGCGTGGTGTGGGGCAGATAATCTTCCTGGGTGTTAGTGGTTAGTTCGTGAGTTAGTGGTCCACCCCATGGACCTCACAGAGCTGTTGTGAGAATCGGCTGACAGCTCTAGAGTTGGACAGACATTTGATCGTTGGCATTCATTCTCACCGACCCTGAAAACACCTGTTGTCGGAAACCAGGGCTGAGCCATGCTCTTCAGCTGGCCCACAAGGAAGCAAGAATACAGAAGAAAAACTTCAATATTCCGTCTTTAAGAAAGGAGAAAAAAGCAAAAGAAAGGCAGTCTTTCACCACAATTTACCAAGAAAAGCATCGGTGACTCCATGTTTTCCTTACACTAGATTCATCTGACAGACTTTTAAAACATCAAAGAAAGTGCCCATTAAGGATGAGACAGGTCAGTTTTCTTGACGGGATAGAGCTGAGAAGAGCCTTGCCTGGACCTTTGCACCACAGAGCAACTGTAGTCTGTGGTCCCTACAAGAGCGTCCTCCCTGGGACTTGCTGCAGGTGCAGAGAATTGAGTCATTGCTCTTGAAGAATAACCATGAAATGAGCCTATTGTGAGGAGAAGCATAACGCGTGGGAGGAAGGGGCAGGACCATGGAAATGCCAAACAGGAAAAAAGAGTAGGACCTTTCTCTCCAGTGTTTGGATATCATGACTTAGGTCCCACCACCTGTGATCAAAAACACTCAACACACGTTGATGTAGTTGCCTGCATTCTTCCAGACACTGGCTAGTTGTTATCTGTCTTTCTATCTGTCTATCCACCCATCCACCCATCCATCCATCAGTTTGTTCATCCATCCATCCATCCGTCCGTCTGTTCATCCATCCATCCATCCATTCGTCTATCCTTCCATCCATCCATCCAT